ATATAGTAACAAGTACAGTTCAGTAACAAAAATTAGATTTTTGCATGAAATAGGATAAGGGATTCATGGAAAAGATAATGTCTTAAAATTTATTTTATTTCATTATAAAGTATAATTTCTCATTTCTTTCATTTGACTGTGAGATTTAGACATGTTTTGTGAGATTCACCATGTAAATCATTGAAAGCAGCATTAGAAGTTGGGCTTGATAATATTCCTGGACAAGCCGTCCCGTGACCTGGTACAGACACAAGTGTGCGTGATTCGATTTCCTATGAAGAACAACCACTTCCATTGCAGACCTCTGGCTTCTCTATACTCAGTTTGTACTGGACTTTCTTCGAGAGGAACCTGCCAACAGGAAGACCAACAAAACATGAATAGAGTTTAAGAGAGAACGACAGAAGGTCTGCTGGAGGAATGAACTGATCTCAGTACGAACCTTGAGAAGGAGTTGTCGAAGACAAGAGTATATTCTCCAGAGTTCCTGACCTTCAGTTGACCCTGAATTGTTTCTTTATGAGAGTTACATCTTGTCAGAGGGATCAGAACCTGAAAGAAAAGAAAAAAAAACAGGTTTGAGGATCCATTCATTAATACACTAAGGCTGTCCGGACATCATCACCATCTTCTTATCAACGCTTTGACAGATTATACAGTAAAAGGGTGCATTTATTTGATCAAAAATACAGCAAAATTGTGAAATATTATTACAATTTTAAAGTAAGTGTTTTCTATTGTGATATATTTTAAAATGTAATTTATTTCTGTTATCAAAGCTGAATTTTCAGCATCATTAGCATCAATTTCGATCCTTCAGAAATCATTCTAATATGCTGATCTGCTGCTCAAGAAACATTTCTGATTATTATCAGGGTTACAAAAAGTTTCAGCATTCTTTTATAATATAGAAATTTAGAACGTTTGAAATAGATAGTTCAAACGAACACAATTTATTTGAAAAGGAAATATTTTACAACAATATGAATGTCTTTACTTTTGATCAATTTAATGCATTATTGCGGAATAAAAATATCAATCTATTTTAATTTCATAAAATCCGACAAACTTTTGACTGGCAGTGTCGTTTGAAATATTTCATGTAGCTTGTTTGGATATGCCTAATATAATGTTTTAATATAATAATAAACATATATCTTTTGAAAATTCATATGAAAAAATTCTTGATGGATCCTGATGTTCTTATGATTTTTGCAAAATTATTATTAAATAAAATCAAGTATTGAATAAAATAAATCTATTATTATTATTATATAATAATAATTATTATTATTATTATAAACTATAATAATAATTGTGCAAAAATCATAATGGAATCAGGACCCATCATAAGTGTTGTGTGTCTGACTCACGTCATCTCTCCAGATTTTAACAGGCAGATCTCAGCGTCCTGAACGGAGCCAATCAGCTCGTCTGAATCTTCTGTGCTGGTGATGTCACTGCTGCTTCTGCAGACATATATGCACTTACATGTCATCTCCTGTCGTATACTTATTTAACCACAGACTAAAGACGAGCGCACATCATAGCAAGTGACGCAAATGAAACTGAAACAAAGCCAGCAAGTTTCGATATTATGTTTACCTTAGCAGTACATTAAGATACACTGGCAGGCACCATGTGTTCATGTCAGATTTGCTCTGATGAATGAAAATAAATCCAATAATGAAACTGAGTTCAGCTCAGCAGGAGCAAATTAAATGTTACTTGTTTCTTCAGCACAAATTCAGCATATTGTGTTTCGTGCAGAGAATCTGGGCTAACAAGACAGGGGTGTGTGTGTGTGTGTGTGTGTGTCTCACAGCTGTTGTGTCTCTGAGGGCAGCACAGCGGTGTAGTATAAAGAGTCACTGTCATGGACACAGTTCACTTCCTCTTGTGTGATGATGTCATATGCTGTGTCATCAGGCCGAGGGGACTTCAGTGCCCCTGTGAGGACAACATTCACATTACACAAAGAATTACAACCCACTATCTGAAGAAAGATCAGATCATATTCAACCAGTATGCATTTTCATTTTACATTTAAGGCATTTATAATCAATTCACAGTCCATATTAAATCACATAAAACCCCTTAATGGTTGCAAAGCATGTTTGTGATGCCGCGAAAGACGTTATATGTCTTACCTGGGACACCAGGTGTGCTGGTTCGCGTGGGGCTTGATATTGGGCTGTGGGCTGAACGTAAAGGACTGCCCAGGTCCCCACGTCCAGAACTGCGCTGATTAAAGCAGTCCTTACAACAGCGCATGCTGCTGCCGCCCTGGTGGACACTTGCATCATTAACAAGGCAGTAGTAACAGAATGGGCGCCCACAGAACCTGTTTAAAAAAACAGAGAAAATACAAATATACACTACCGTTTAAAAGTCTAGGGGGAGTAAAGGCATCTAGAATTTTACAAAAGATTGAAATTTCAAATAAATGCTATTATTTTTCAACTGTTTGTTCATCAAAGAATCCTGAAAAAGAAAATGTATCACAGTTTCCACAAAAATATTAAGCAGCACAACTGTTTTCAACATTGATAATAATAAGAAATGTTTCTTGAGCACCAAATCACAATTTGGCATATTAGAATGATTTCTGAAGGATCTTGTGACACTAAAGATGGAAAATTCAGCTTTGCATCACAGAAAAAAAATATACTGTAAATATTTTTAAAATAGAAAATGGTTATTTTACATTGTAATAATATTTCTCAATAATACAATATTATCTGTATTTTTGACCAAATAAATGCAGCCTTAGTGAGCATAAGAGACATCTTTCAAAATAATTTAAAAAATCTATAGTGTAGTGTTGTGTAGCTATATTTATTCTTTAATAGTATGACAATTATTATGCTTTTATGCCTACATACAACAACAATTAAAATAGACCATAAAAATATTGTAAATTGTAAAAAATATTAAATTACAAATATCTGCCAATATTATGTTACAAGGTTGTGATTCGTAGTTAAAAACAAGCTGCTCAAATCAGACAGATGATTTACCAATCAGAGCAAGTCAGGGGTGGGACAAGTAAATTAAATGTTTACAATAGTAACTGTAACATTTATCACCACAAAATCAGATGACACCCTTATCATGGCCTTGTACATTTACCTTAAATTGTAAATTTAACATTATTTAAATATATATATATATATAAAACCATCACAACCTTTGTCAAACACAGCTTGGACAAAATGACCTGTCACTGGCAATTTGAAGGGTAACAAAGGTCTAAATACTCAATTTTATTCCATTGCCTCTAGCTACTGAATGCAAGAAGAATGTCATTTGCCAAAAATGCCATTTCCCCTTAAAGTTTCACCCCTGACCTGCAGCTATGTTTGCGCAGCATCCAGGTGAAGTGGTTGCGGCAGCTCAGACAGTATGTGACGTCTCTGTCTGTCTGTTCCTCAGCCCTCCGTTTCTGTTCAAACTCCAGTGCATCAGACTTCTGCCATAAAGCATCTTTGTCCCTACAGGGGGAGCCAGAGTTCTATGAAGAACAGCTTGCAACAATTTAGCAGATACAGGAATTTTCAAATGCATTTCTTTGGGTTGTAGGGAACATATATTCTGATGTGTTAGAAAAGTGGAAAAACCATGGTAGGTAACTACTGTATATAAGTCACCTTATGAGCTCAATAAGCCTCTCTTCCAGATTCTTTTTGGTACGATAAAGGTCATCTATCTCAGCAGACATCTTCAGTTCAATGGCTTGCTTCTCCATCACACTTCTGCTTAAGTTTACACCCAGTTCATTACAGGACTGCTGAGTAAGAGCCAGTTCCTCCTCAGCTCTGACAAAAAAACAAGAATCAGGCCAGCAGACATTCAAAACAACTAGTAGAAAGTGAAAACCCTCCTACATGTTAGTAAAATTTTTTTGTTTACATTTTTAATGTATGGACTAGCTCAAAAGCAGTAGAGAAATCTCTCACCTTGTTAAGTCCACTCTAAGGCCTTTTATCTGTTCCTCTTTCTGATTAATTATAGTTTCAGAATCACCGAAGAGGGCATTTTTCTTTTCGATCATCTGACTGTAATCACTGTTGGCAGACTTTTAAACAAAAACACAAGGATGCAAATTTTTTTTGATTTTCCTGCATTTAAAAGTGCATTTCAAAGACTACTGATCTAAATAATTAGGGTTGGGGATCTTTAGCCAACTCAACATTTACTTTAGAGTCTAACATGCTTAATACTTGACACAAAAATGTCAATATCATTATGATTTGAGATGCTAAAAAAGCAGAGCAACATGTCCAAATGTCTCAAAGACATCCATCTAGAGCATATTTGCATACAAAAACTATAAAAAAAGCAGCGCAGTGGAACGAAAAAGCATGTTCCACATGAATGGCCCCTAAAACTAGGTTGTTTAACAGTTTCCAAAATTATAGCAAACTATTCAGTGCATTAATATAGGATAGATTTGATTCATTCACAGGTTTGTGTTTATCATTCATCTTAGGTAATGAAATGGCAAGTAATGTGAATTAGCCTCAACAGCCATCTATGGTAATAAGATCAAGTACCTCAAGCTCCAAAACTTTGGACTCAAGACTTGAGACTTTCTCGACTTCATTCTCCAGCCTCTTCCTCAGTGCATCCAGTTCCTCATTTAGACCCTTCAGAGAGACATCCATAAACACCCTGAACAAAACAGAACAAAACCAACACCTATGAGAATTTTTACTTCAATTACCTGCACTTGATTTTGATCGTGCGCAGCTTCATTGCTCAACTGGGACCTCAGTTTGTCCACTTCCCTTTGTCGGATCTTTTGGACACTTTTGGCTTCTTCTTCCACCTGTTCAAGTCTTTCCTGCAACTTCTGCATGGCTTCTGGGAGTCCTTCAGTCTGCTTTAGCTGCTCTTGGAGTCTTGCATTATCTTTTCTCAAGGCCTCCATTGAATCACTTAGAGTTTCCACCTCTTCCTGTGCCTCCATCTGTAGCTCCTGCAGTTTAGTAGAAAGCTCTTCCCATCGCAACTGAGACTCCTCGTTCTGTCCTGTCAGCATGCAAACGTGAACCCCAAGCTCTGCTGTCTCAGTGTTGGCCCTGTGAAAGGCCTCACGAGCCTCTCCGTTCTCAAGCGCAAGCATGCTGTTCTGCGTCTTCAACACGTGAAGCTCTTCCCTCACGGCAGTCAGGTTCGTTTGGATTTCTGCCCGCACATGGGCCTCCATATCCCTCTCCTTTACCAGAGAGTCCTCTCTTTCTCGGCAACGCAGCAGTTCCTCCAAATGCCTACGGTTTAGCTCTTCCACCTGGGACTTTAGTTGCTCCGCCTGAGCATGGAGATCTTCTCTGGAGGCTTCCGTCACTTCCTGCAGAGCCTGGATCTTTATTTTCTCCTCTGAGCTCACCAATAGCAGCGCCCGGAGCTCCATGACCTCTTCCTGGAGTCTGGAAACCTCCTTCATGTTGAGTTCAAGTTGGGCCTCAGCCAGAGCCAACCTAGAAGTGGATTCTCCATGATCAGTTCTTGAGGATTCATTAGCCTCCCGAAGGAGACTAGAAGTCGCCGTCTTGTTCCCCTGGGGGACTGTAGCTCTCTCATTTAGTTCTTCCTGGCTTAATATACTATTCTCTCCAAGTTGTTCGATTTTGGTTTCCTCGCTGTTCATCTGGCAGTTCTGTATGCACTCCTCAAGATTTTGGTTCTCCACTGTCAGTCCAGCGGACTCTAATCTGGTTCTCAGTTGCTTCTCAGAGGCCTGTGTGGTAATCAGTTCTCTCTTTAGAGTGTTGTTGGCTTGCACCAGCTCCTTGCTGCTCTCTTCATTTCTCTTCACCGTTTGGATCAGCTTGGCATTGATCTCCATTAAACTTGTGCACTGGTTCTTGTACTCTTCCAGTTTCTTGGCTTGCATTTGGAAGCTCTGACTCTCCGAAGTCAACCGCTGGTTTAGATTCTCCAGTTGCCGGATCTTTTGGGCAACGGAGGACAACTCAGTCACCTTTGCATTTAGTTGTTCTTCAAGCACACTTTTATGTTGTAGCTCCTCTTCTATCCTTTTCTTGTGCTCCTCCAGTTGACCGTCCTTGGTCTCCAGTGCTCTCTGCATGTCCTGCAGCTGAGTCCGTAGGTTCCCCATTTCCCGCTCCTTCAGAGAAAGTGCTCCTTGAAGGCGGTTGATGGTCATCTGCAGCTCATCAGCCTGCTGCATTGCGGTTGTTCGTTCTTTGTCGCTACAAGTGTCCAGTTTGTTTTCCATCTCTTTTAGTTTCTCTTCCTGAAGCTTCAGCTCCTGGGCAAGTTGCTCAGCTAGTCTCGCCCGATCTTCACTTTCTCGTTTACACTCAATCCTCTCTTCCTCTGCCTCCTTTAGCTTGGTCAGGAGCTCTTGGATCTTCCAGGCCGAGTCGCAGTAGTTGGTGGCCTGCTGTCCTTTTTCGCTCAGAGCTCCGTCGAGTTTTGCTAGCAACTCCATATAAGCCTATTCAAAATATTAATATATAGTTACTATTATAGTATATAAATAATAATGAAATAACACTCCTCTATAGTGGAGTTTTAGTTACTTTTTATGGGTAACTCAAAACTGAAACATTACTTTTTAAAGCTAGAAAAAGAAACACGGAATGAATTTATGTAGATTACATATTAGGTACAGAACCAGAGATAATGAGGATATGAACAGAAGAGATCATTTTAATGAGGTTTCTATAGTCTAAGGTGTTTCTAATGTGTTACCAAACCTGTGAGTATCTGCTAACCAGACTGTTGACACTAGAGCAGCGACTGGGTGGTTTCCACCTTTGCATTTAGTTGTTCTTCAAGCACACTTTTATGTTGTAGCTCCTCTTCTATCCTTTTCTTGTGCTCCTCCAGTTGACCGTCCTTGGTCTCCAGTGCTCTCTGCATGTCCTGCAGCTGAGTCCGTAGGTTCCCCATTTCCCGCTCCTTCAGAGAAAGTGCTCCTTGAAGGCGGTTGATGGTCATCTGCAGCTCATCAGCCTGCTGCATTGCGGTTGTTCGTTCTTTGTCGCTACAAGTGTCCAGTTTGTTTTCCATCTCTTTTAGTTTCTCTTCCTGAAGCTTCAGCTCCTGGGCAAGTTGCTCAGCTAGTCTCGCCCGATCTTCACTTTCTCGTTTACACTCAATCCTCTCTTCCTCTGCCTCCTTTAGCTTGGTCAGGAGCTCTTGGATCTTCCAGGCCGAGTCGCAGTAGTTGGTGGCCTGCTGTCCTTTTTCGCTCAGAGCTCCGTCGAGTTTTGCTAGCAACTCCATGTTTCTGTTCTCCGCAATGCTCAGTTTGGCTTCTAGGTTGCGTTCTGATGTCCGTAGAGCCTCCAGTCCCTGTGTGGTGGTATGGAGGTGATCTGCGCACTCTCTAACAGCTTTCACCACCTCCTGATCTTCTTCTTTCTCTTGATTAGGACCTTTAGCCAAGAGTTGCTTCTGTAGGTCTTTGACCACGGCCTTCAGATCAGCTGCTTCACTGGTGAGTTGCCTGATCTTCTCTTGGAGCTCTTGTTGTTTCAACTCTGACTGGTCGAGCTCAATGCGCAGATCCTCAGAAGCACTACAGGACAACTCACCTAATTCCCCGAGATCACCTAGAAGACTAGAGCCAAAATCTTGGCCTGGAAGAAACTCTTGAGCTTGCTGCATGAGGGAAAAGAGATTGAAATTAATCGACAACGACTATGTGACTGCATTGCATTAGGTAAACAAATCTAAACCAAAAAAAAAGAAAACAAAATGCATTCACCCACATTGGTATATTTGTCAATATTGACATACCAAAATACTGGTATTGTGGTATTAAATCGAAAACTAGATTGGTGGTACAAACAAAGGAAAATAGGCAAAAATCTATTAAAAATAAACAGAGTTCAGAATGGCATGTTTATGGAATGTGATTTACATAATAAAATCACTTTTTAAAAGTACAGAGTTTATACCATAGTAGCCAAGGTACTTTTTACAATAAGTGCCTATTCTTTTCTTTTCTTTAATTACTGACAGACACAACTGTAAAATCTTTCCCTTTCTCATATTGTAGTCATGTATGCCTACAATGTAACTATATACTTATTAAGACTCAGCACCAGTGTCATTATAGTTGTCTAAAAAGAAGTAAGAAAAATGTAAATGTTTTCCTGTAATTGAAATCAAATCCAATCAAATAAATTGTCAACAAACTTAAATGAGAACTAGAAATGTTGCTTTGGCAACTAAATTGAAATGAAACTGAAATAAAAATAATTTAAAACTAAATATAAATATTTTAAAAGCACATAACAAAACCCACGCATGGGCGGGTGAGATAGCTGATCCCAGAGTCTTTCTGTATGCATGAAATGCACATAAAAACCATGTTTACTAACATTAGTTCATTCACAACGCAGGCAATCTGCAAAATACAACTGCTTAAATGTCTTACAGTCTAAATGTGTTGCAATAGGGACTTTACTATTGTAACATGCATGGGTTGAATTCTCATGAATTACCTAGCAAAAGTGGGCCAGTCAGAGTCAAGGTCGTGACCTCGGGATGCTACATCAAACTGGACCTCATTGAGTTCATACAGGTGGTTGATGAGATCAATGTTCAGATGGGACTTCAGGAAGGGACTGCGTTCATAATACCACTCACTGTGAATGACAAACAAAAATCATCACCACTCATAAACAAGACTGGAGTTGTTTCTCAGAGATGTTATACCCTGTGCATTTCTAAATTTAAATTTAGCTTTAGCTTTGCTTTTGTAACATAAAAACACTGGACTTTGGATAACTGTGTTGTAAGTACTATAATAAAAATCGCTGACATTACATGTATGCATGCTACTTTGAGACAAGAAGTTTCTTGTTTCAAAGAAGTGAAAGCGGAGGGAGGAAGAGAAATTAATGTGTGGATGAGTTTGCTCTGAATCAACACTTTCAGGTCTGTTAAATAAAGAGCAGATTTGCATTAATGCATTGACATGCTCTATTCAAATGACTATGGTTGTGTCATGTGCAAAAACAAAATAAATATGAATTAATATTAAAATTAATTAATTGCAATTTATTGCAGACTAATTTGCTGAAATCTAAACCTTCTAAAGTTGGCTAGCAGTGCATGCAACTCTTTTCATGCATACGCTTTGTTTTCGTGTGACATTTTGACCACACTTTAAAGCCAAATGTGGTTGCACTTGCCACCAAAATGGTTGTTTACATGTCTGATTGTAAGTCTGAGGCATACGTGCATCACATCAGTGTTATTTTAGTATAATGGAGATAGTTTTTCATAGTTTTTATTCATATTTGTAATTCGTTTTTAGTTTTATTGTTTTAATTTTAATTTTAGGCAACAGTTTAGTAACTTTGATTTTGTCATTTTTATTATTATAATTTTTTGCATTTAAAATATTCATTCTTTAATACTTAAAAAAATAAAAATAAAAACCATATAATGTCAAATCATACACATTTTACTAGACATTTACTGAAAATACAAATAATTTTTGTACTTTAGCAAAGCTACGCATATGGAGCAATGCATCAGTCATCCTGTACAAGTTCCCACTAAGATGTTTTTGTTGAATATATTACCATGTGGTTTTGTAGTTCATAAGACATTGCTGAAGAGTGTCTGCCAGCCTTTGGTGCACCAGACAGTAGCGAATGAAAGCCCGTCCTTTCCCTAATGATGTCTTCAGCTAAATCACACAAAGTAAACAAAAAGGCCTTGTATTTAATAAGGATTATATGCATGTTTTGAAATGAGACCTGAGCATTAAATATGTTCTGGTTAACTTTGTATAAATTACACAAGTTTCTGTTCACAACACTACAGCTTCTCATTTTGTTGATGACAATCTGAAAAACACATAAGATTCTTATGATAATGGAATGAGATGACATGTTGCATAACGATAACAACACGTATGAACATCACAAAAGAGCTAGAAACAATCAATTTTGAGTTTTCAAAGGAAACAGTATAACTTAGCTCAAAGGTCAGTGAGCAGACTATCTGCTTAAACATAAATAAATCACTACATTATAGTTCATGTTTCACGAGTTTGTGTGCCCACGTAATCTTAGCATTAGTGGTAAACAGATTTGGCTTGATGTCTGCAATGGAGGGCTCAGAGAGACTATTCTACTCGAGCTCCGCTAACCCCCCTATGGACAGAAAGACAAATAAATAAATAGGCATAAAAAGGAGGAGATGGGTATAAAAGTGTAAAACCATCAAACTGTTGGCAGTCTGCTATCAAATTATTATTACAAATGATTTATTATCAAATAATGAATCAAGAAAAGATTCGGATTCTGTTCTGTTGGCACACTGATTATGAAGGTAAAGCTGAGTGCACTGCATCATGGGATACAGTATTCAGTGCAGTGTGATCTAGTTTTATGCTGTACATTTTGGCAAATGCAATAATATGACATTTCTGTATTCCGTGTATACACTAAATTTGAATAATGTACCTAGTGTAGTACACAGTGCATGCTGAAAAATACTGTATGAGATGGTATGGTAATATGCCAATCTAAACACAAACAATGTCTGTCAGTGGGACACCAGATGGAGGATTACAGTGGGTGACCAAAGAGCATAAGGACACCAGATGGAAACGTTACACTATACAGCTGACGCTGGATTTCTGGATTTGTTCTGGATTTGAGACTCACAAAAAGCTGCGTTTCGGTAACAAATTAATTCTGAAGACTTTTTCGTATGCATTAGTGAAAGTTGTTCTTGAAATGAGAAAAAAAGATTGCCCTAATAATAATTAAATTATAATCCGAGTAATACAAGTTAATGTCTTGATTATGTCAGGAACAGTACACAAAGAGAATGATCACCTTTATTCTATATAGGAGAGTCTGAAAAATATCTGCATGTTGTGGGTGATTGCTAGGTGGTTTTTAGGGTGTTCCGGGTGGTTTCTTTCTGGCTAAGATCCAAAAAGGAGTCAAAACAGCTCTCCTCTATAATATTCTCTCAGGTCCCTCCTTCAATGTAAATCTATGTGAAAAATCAAGTATGGTCAATTAAAAAAGTAAAAGCACAAATCTATCTTCAACAAGCTACAAAATTTGAAGTACTATGTCACAGTAGCACAAATGATGCAGGATAAGATGCACGGAAAAATTTGATACTTAAAGGTTAATACTTAAGCTTAATAGTTTATTTAATACTTAAGCTCAAAAAAGTTTAATATTTTAGCTTAGTGGTTCGTCTCCCACAGTATGAGAAATGGTAATAGTTATTCACGTCTTAGCACTAAACATCACCTGCCTTGTTAAAGGAATACTGTAACATGCCTGTCTGTATAATGTACAGTTATGAGTCTCTACTGCTAGTCGAATGCCTATAACACATGACCAACCTGAGGCTGAGTGTCGCTGCTTCCTGCTTCAAACCCTCCAGAGAGGTGCAGATAAAAAACGGATGTAAAAAAAAAAACGTCAGAAAACCAGCAACATGAAAGTGCAAAAGAGAAATGAGAAGGTAGGCTGGAGCCAAACACGCACTGGCTGAAGAGATGAGTTTTATAGCAGAGTTTTGGGCTCGTGCAGTGGATTACCTCGGGGATTGATTTGACAAAGCGAATGCCGTCATTAGCTCCTTTAATCTTGGCCAAGCAGTCACAGAAATAGTCCCAGTAGTCTTTCCTGCTTCCCAGAAATGTGGTCCTCTCTTTCTGGTCAAACTGGACACAAGGGTCAAAAGGTTAATCTCAAAACAGTCACTCTAAACATGATGTCTGGTTAAATATGAATGCGGAGATCCCCAGTCATCCAGGTCACCATCATTTTTATGGTAAATAATGAGAAACTAGTTAAGTGGTAACAACTGAATTTCACAGGATATTCTACTTTTTTTTTAATATCTAGTTCCACAAGAAACTTTTTTCACATACTTTTTTCACTGATTGTGGGACAAAAAATCTGCAGAATTGATATACTGTATATTGCAGTTGTATTATAACTGGTAATTGAAATAAATCTGGGAAAAAATTTAAATTAAAATATTACATGAAAAACTTACAAATTAGAAACAAAAAACTAGAAATGTTGCCTTGGCAACTAACTAAATCAAGTTGAAGTAGAAGAATTACTAAAATTAAAACTGAAATAAAAATGAATCAAAGCTATGTAATAAAAATTACAAAAGCAAGTATCAAAATTACTCAAACTTAAACTAAAATTAAACTAAAAACTCAAAATATAAAAAAGTTCATTCAAAATATGAATGAATACTATAACAGTATATAACTAATACTAAAATAAAACTTAAGTCAAATTAAACATCAAAATTAAGATGAAATTAATATGTATTTAACCAATTATTTTAAAAAAAACTAATGAAATTATGTCCCCACACTGGCCTAGATATAAAATAACTTTGAGAAAGAGTTCCTGATGAACAAAGAAAACGCAAACATTAAATGTAAAATGACTTTAAAGACTGTGCCGTACCTGCAGTAGGTACTCCAGTTTATAGCAAAACTTGTGAAGGCTGGAGCTGTCATCAGTGATGGGCTCGCCAGTATCACGATGTTCTTTGCTCAGCTCAGAAACTGCATCTGCACAAATATATTTGAATCTGAGCTCCAGCAGGATGTTTAAATGGTGTTTGGAGCAGTGCAATATAGACTAGATTCAAACATATTTAGTTATTTGTACAATCTCCTAAAAAAGGACTTGACGGTTTTATTTTATAGGAAACTGCATTAACATTTTAGAGTTGGGTACAACAAGTTTCCCAATTTCAAAACATTTTAGGGTCTCCATGACTTATGAAGGTCTGGAAATCACAAGTTTAAGTTTTTTTCTAGATATTTCTAGGTTTTCTATGACTGTGAGACCTTGAGTAATTAACTGCATGTCACAATTATAAGAAACATTAATACTGAATAATCATCACCAGTGGATCAAATTTCAAAGATCACGATCACAACTAAAAGTACACATGGAGATACATGCTTGCTGAATACCTAGATATGACTATATTTCATGTGCTGTGATAACAGAGAATTCAGAATATGTGGGGAGATTTTGCAGTGTCTCTAGTATAAGCTAAAAAAAAGTTATTGGGCAATCACAGTGTCAAGAGACTCATGACACATGACACTGCACATGACTGTTCACACATGCAATACATCACACTGAGTGTGTGATTTTACCATGCAGATCTCTGATTATTCTCTGCAGCTGATTTTCTCCCACTGTACTCATGGTAGGCTGAATATGTTAGTGTGGATGATTCATAAAGTCAACATTATGCCTGTAAAAGCAAAGGGAAAAAACATGGTTGCACTAAAAGAATAAAGACAACAATAAAACAGTAAACCGTAAAACATTAAACAGTTTATGATGGTATAGGAAGCAATGTGATAAAAAAAAAAACATCCCATATTTTTACCAATTTAATTCTAAACGTATTTGTATCATAAAATAAAACTAATAATGTACTAGAGTAATCTTGTGTTGTGATTATTTTGATGTGACTGCAGGTGCACTAGAGAGTTTTACTTTTGTTTTTAAACGTAGGGAAATTCACAGCCCAAAATTCACAATTCCCTGAACAATATTATGATCACCATGATTACAGACTAGAATGATAAATGACATTTGTAATATTTAAATATTATAATGAGACTAGGTAGAGAGACGCACCTGCTGAACTTTACAACTTTAGCGTTTAGCGTTTTATCACATTTCTGCCACAACCGTCAACCTATCGTCAGTATAAACAAATGTATATTTGATAAACATATGTAAATAATGATATATAGACGTAAATAAAGACATACTTAATACAGAAAGCTGATCTCATCGATTATTTACAGTAGATCCAACCCTGCTGCCATTACAGGGGGCGGTACTAAGATTGACTGACAGCAAGCTAATCCAATCAGAGGCGAAAACGAAATAGCAGATTCTTCGGAGCTCATCAAGTTTGGTTGCGAAACAAAAAACCGCAGTAAATAAACAAGTAGTGTCATGTGATGATCAGTAATGAGTGCATCACACATTTCAGGTGTTAACATATATATGTTATGATTTAACGTGCTACTGTATAGCTAGAAAACGACCAAAACCAATAACCATCAACAATTAGTTTTAGCAATTGCTTCTTAGAGTCATTTTATGAAGCAGGTTCTTTTTTAAAAAGAGATGATAGTAACATGGCTGATGCATAGGCCTATACTTTTTATTTTAATCATACATTTAACCTAATCCATATTAAATATAAATATAGGTCAACTCAGTGTGATTTATTTGATTACTTTCTTGATTCAAGTCCTTTTCTGACTAAGGGCAAGGCCTCAGGATCTTGCAAATTAATTTATGGTAGGCTATAAAGGAACAGAAAATAGGACATGGACCTACTGTTTTTTTTGTTTTTTTTGTTTTTTGGTTTTGAGGATGGGGGATCTGAGCATCGTTTTTTGGTGGGTTGTACTCTACTGATACTAATAGGAACAATAACCAGACTAGAAAGTTTCACAGTTTTTTTTTTTACTTAACACTCACTCAGTCTGCGATCAACCATTACAGTAACATTTTCTCTGGAGAATTTCATAAAGGTAAGTGATAACTCAGCAGGCAGAAAACAGATTATAAATTCCACTGAGATAAATATTTTTGTATAATATAGTATAAGAAATGTTATATTTCCATTAATGTTATGCTCTCAATATTTCTGAAGTGCACATGAAAAATATGTGCAATAATTATCAATGCAATCATTGATTATTTCTTTGGTTAATGTTTAATATTTAAGTTATTAAGATCAGATAGATAGATAGATAGATAGATGATAGATAGATTTAATACAGTGTGTTTGCTGTTTTTGTTTGTTTTACTGTTGTTTTTTGTAATCATATGTGAAATTTTCTGAGTAAAAATTGTATCCAATTTGTTTTCAGTGTACATTTATGCATCAAGATGAAAGTCCAACCAATCACTGAATATCGGTATGAAATATCTTCCACTTTAGACTATTATGATTACAATTTCACCAATGGCAGCATTGGTGATGACATCTGTATCAAGAAAAATGCCATCCAGTTTGCGACAGCCATCACTCCAGTCATTTTCATCATCATCGTTCTGTTCAGCTGTGTGGGAAACACTCTGGTCGTGTGGGTCCTTGTGAAGTATGAAAATCTGAAATCCCTCACCAACACATTTCTGTTAAATCTGGCTCTCTCTGATCTGATTTTCACCTTTGGCCTGCCCTTCTGGGCCTACTACTACATGTATGGCTGGACTCTTGGAGATCCTGCTTGCAAAGCAGTTAACTTTGTGTTCTACACGGGATATTACAGCAGCATCATCTTCCTGACGGTTTTGACCATCCACCGTTACATGGCCGTGGTTCATCCCATGTCAGTGGTCATGTCTAGGAAGAGCCTGCACTGCTATGTGACATCACTTGTCATCTGGATCATTAGTCTTTGTGCTGCTATCCCACAAGCCAGGTTCAACTCAGCTGTGTACAACCCCACTGATGTATTCATGGATGCTCAAAACAACGGCGCCAAAGCAGTTCTGCTCTGTGATTTTGCTGGTGAAATTAATTGGAAATTGGCAAGTACATACTTGCAAAATTCCTTTTTCATTATTGCTTTTGTGATCATTGCTTTTTGCTACACTGTGATCTTGGGACGGCTGCTTCGACCAACATCTCACACTCGTAGAAAGACGGTGCAGCTCATCCTCTTCATTGTGGTGTTTTTCTTCTTGGGATGGGGGCCGTACAACGTGGCCATATTTCTGGACTCTCTGATTTCGTGGAAAATCTCTCCTTTTAATGATTGTAAGCTGAGTGAATCTATAGACTATTTGATGTATGTCTCTCGGATGGTGGCTTTCTCACACTGCTGCCTGAATCCTGTGTTTTATGTTTTTATGGGGATAAAATTCAGAAACCACTTGAAGAAAATGTTATGGACTTACTGTAAGAACAACAAAGAACCCCAGAATCGACACAGCAGGCTTATTTACTCCAATGGTGAAGAAATATCTATGTATTAGGTCTCTACACAAAAAAAACAACAACCCTAGGTTGGACCATTGCATGTTAAGATTTTCATCAAAAAAAAAAAAAAATGAATGCAATGTTAAAGTGTCTGTACAATAAACTGATCACTGAAATTGCATGTAAAAAGCTCTGTAAAAAGCGATGCAATCTTACAAGAGGTTGTTATATACATTTACTGTTAAATTGATTTGCATTGTATATTTGCTTTCTTTTACACATTCATAATTGATGCTACAAATGATGAACAAATAAATTGGTGTGTACTGTATATACAGTACAGTAGTGATCATGTTAGCTATTTACTGCATTTGTTAACTTTGAACAATATAAGGACTTGTTATTCATGATTTTAGATTAACAGCTTTAATAACAAATAAAGACAGAGAGAGATTTAAAAAAGAAATCACATAATGTATGCAGTTTCTCATCTGATTAAGTTCAAAATTAAGATAAATTTGTAAATAAAACAAATATTATTGGAGAATGTTTAACTACACACACACACACACACACACACAGTCTGGTTAGCTATCCTTGTAGGGACTCTCCATAGGCGTAATGGTTTTTATATTGTACAAACCATATTTTCTATCGCCCTACACCAACCCTACACCTAAACCTACCCCTTACAGGAAACTTTCTGCATTTTTACTTTCTCAAAAAAACTCATTTATAAGCTTTTGTTCCCATGGGGAACTCAATTTAGGTCCCCACTGTGACACGAGTCCCCATGAGTCTGTGTGTATTCAGTCCCCACCAGGTTACAGTGCCGTGAAAAGGCTATCCCCCCCTTCCTGTTTTTTTTTTTTTGCATATTTGTCACACTTAAAAGATTCAGATCACCAAACAAATTTTAATATTACACAAAGATAATGCAAGTAAATACAAAATGCAGTATTTAAATCATGATTTCATTTATTAAGGGAAAAAAGCTGTCCAAATCTACCTGGCCCTACGTGAAAATTAATTGCCCCCTCCTGTTAAATCATGAAAGAACTGTAATTAACCACGTTATTTTAGAAAGCTGAGTTCAATTTCACTAGCCACACGCAGGCCTGATTACTGCCAGACCTGTTGAATCAAGAAATCACTTAAATAGAACCTGTCTGACAAAGTGAAGCATGCTTAAAGAGCAAGGGTCATAAAAGAACACTTGCCTCAATTAAGGTCAGTGTTCATAATTCAACAATAAGAAAGAGACTGGGCAAAAACGGCATCCATGGGAGAGTTCCAAGGCAAAAGCCACTGCTGATCAAAATGAACACAAAGGCTCGTCTCCCATTTGCCAAAAAATATCTTGATTATCCCCAAGACTTTTTGGCAAATATTCTGTGGACTGATGAGACAAAAGTTGAACTTTTTGGAAGGTGTGTGTCCCGTTACATCTGGCGTAAAACCAGCACAGCATTTCATAAAAAGAACATCATAGCAACAGTCAAACATGGTGGTGGTAGTGTGATGGTCTGGGGCTGCTTTGCAACTTCAGGATTTGAAGTTGCCATCAATCATAATTGATGGAAGCATGAATTCTGCGCACTATCAGAAAATCCTGAAGGAGAATGTCCGGCCGTCAGTTTGTGACTTCAAGTTCAAGTGCACTTGGTTTATGCAGCAGGACAATGATCCCAAACCCACCAGCAAGCCCACCTCTGAATGGCTCAAGAAAAACAAAATGAAGGTTTTGGAGTGGCCAAATCAAGGTCCAGACTTAAATCCGATTGAGATGATGTGACATGACCTTAAACAGTCCATTCATGCTCGAAAACCCTCCAATGTGGCTGAATGAAAACAATTCTGCAAAGAAGAGTGGGTCAGAATTCCTCCACAGCGACATGAAAGACTCCTTGCCAGTTATCGCAAACGCTTGATTGCAGTTGTTGCTGCAAAGGGTGGCACAACCAGTTATTAGGGGGCAATTACTTTTTCACGTAGTGCCAAGCAGGTTTGGACAGCTTTTTTCCCTTAATAAATGAAATCAATATTTCAAAACTGCATTTTGTATTTACTTTGGTTATCTTTGTGTAATAAAATTAGTTTGATGATCTGAATCATTCAAGTGTGACAAATATGCAAAGAATTTAAAAAAACAAGGAAGGGGGCAAAAACTCACACCACTGTATATAAACCGATCCTTTTCCTGTGTTTCTGAGAACATTTACTCCTATAACTCCTACAAACTTAAACTGAGTGAATCATTGTCTTTTATCCTTCAATATAGTTCTGATTTATCAATGTTTTTGAAAACATGTACATTTTCACTGCCAAACTAGGCCTTACTTCTGTCATTAATGTAATTTCTGAGTCACAAATAAAAAATAAATTGCACCCAACCACATTGCTGCTAGTTTCCTGATATACAGTGTTTCTGTGATTCTACGTCTGACGTCTCGGCTTCTCCTAAGCCTTTTCCTCCAAGTTTGTTAATTCTCAGAAAAAAAGATACAATGCTGTTAAAAGTACATATTGCCGAAATTTTTCATATTAGTACATTTTGAATGGGTACTAACCCAGTGACAGTTTGGTACCTATACCTGAGAGTGTAAAGTGAAACATGCCAAAAAAATAAAAGGGCATTGCGTGAGAAAAACCTATCAGTATGTACAAGGTAGGAAACATCTTTCAGGATGTGCTATCACCGTTGGTGAGGACTAACCATTTGTGAGAACTAACCTAATAACTCTACCCTGATCTTAAAATTATGCCCGTATAGTGTAAGTTCTGTTTTGGAAGTAAAAAAATCCAATGAAAAACGCCTGCATGTTTGCTGTGGCCTCATGCTCTCATTGAGGTTTCTTTGGGTATTTCCTGCAAGCAACTTTGATTAACAAAACATCTATGCATCCATGCATTTCACATTATGTGCTACTAGAATTGAATTTTTTCCGATGATTTTTTTTTTCTTAAACAACAATTATAATGTTTTGGTTTGTATTTAAATAATGAGTAATCACATTTTCCAAAGTTCCTAAACTGATTTATTTACAGACTTGGCTAACTGAATTCTTTTAAAACGTGTGCATGAACTATTTCACTGAAGAATGTTTGTGAGAACTGCTTCTGTCATTACTTTGAGTCACAAAAAATAAAAATACATTTCACCCAGTTAGTTTCTTGGACTTGCAGTGGTTCTATGGTTCATTTCACCGCAGGGTGGTTGGCTGATTCAGTGTGGTCCTCTGGTATGTGTTTCGATTTGATTGGTCCTACAACATCAGACGGTCCAGGAAAGAACAAAAGACGACAGTGAAGTTTGCTCAGTGACTTATTTTACCTTCATTTCTATGCTTTAATATGGAAATAGTGCAGTGCTGTTAATAAATTGTCTGTGTTTCCATGTGCAGACTAATAATCCAATGTCTTAAAGGTGTAGTATGTGCCATTAGCAACAGCAAACAAAATCACAAAATAATGACGATGTGATACTGCAAGATAATGTACTGTTATTAACAACGTTTTTTTTTAGTGAATCAAACACATATTTATCAAATGTAGATGATCAAGTTAGTACTTCACATGACAATTTGATAAATATGCATTTTATCAATAGCAATTTTGTAAACATGGATGAATTGAATGCATTTATGTGTATAGTATATAGTTTTAGAACAATATAAAAGCCTGATATTTAGTTGCATTTATGTATCCTGCCTCTAAAAAGACTTTGAAAAGCGATTAAAAGTCTGTACTCGTACCTCAAGCAAGAATTGTGTAAAATTCATATTTAATTGAAATGGAAAAAGAAGCAATGCAGTTGCATTTCCCTGCGAAATATTTATTAAGAATCATTAAGGAACGGGAACTGCTAAAATTCTATAAAATAAAAACATACAAATAAACAAAGGCAACGGGCCAGAAAACACATGCTGCAATGCCAAGCCACATTTGGTTTATTCATTGTGAAACTGCATGCATTAGCAAAAGGAAATGACAGCACTAACAGAAGTGTGATTTCTATTGTCACTTAGACTATTTTCCTTATACAACACGGTCAACCAAGACCTTGAGGTAAGCATTCCATGTTCTTTCATTCTTGCTATACTGTACTACAGTACCGAAGATGCAAGATGCAATAGTTGCATGGCTTTATGACTGCGGTTAGTTTGCTTTGAAATTTTCTATATCATGCAAATATCAGAAATTGCATTCGTAAAATGATGCTTAGAAAATGCTGTAAGATGCTCATTTATTTTTATGCTAGATGGAGTTCAACTCAAACAGCAGCTATGAGAATGACTCATACGTGTACGATGATGAAGAGGTCTTAATCTCAATGTGTGAGGTTGATGACTATAGAAAGACGACCGGTGTGTGCTACGCCACGATCTTCTGCCTCAGCATCCTTGGAAATGGCTTCCTCGTGTGTGCGCTCACCTGCTACGAAGACCTGAAAAGGGCCACCAACCTTTTCATGTTCTGTTTGGCTCTTTTCGACCTTCTGTTCACACTGACGTTGCCTTTCTGGTGCGTGGAGCTTCTTCATCACTGGGTTTTTGGAGATGTTGCCTGTAAGATCATGACCGGGGCCTATTTTGTAGGCATCTACGGAAGCCTCATCCTTCTCACGGCCATGACCCTCGACCGTTTTGTTGTGGTTGTGGTCAGAAGTTACTGGTTAACACGGAGTCGAAGGCTCAAATGTTCAAAGGCCGCCTGCATTGGCGCCTGGATCATAAGTTTGATTGCTTGTCTGAGAGATTCAATAGCCGCAAAGGCACAAGACATACATATCAACACATACTCGTGTCAAAGCGCCAATACAGTTGATGACCATGTTGGATATTACGCTCAGCTCATTCTGCTGTTTCTTGTACCGTTTGCCATCATTGTTTTCTGTTACACCAAAATCATTTTGACCCTCATGTCAACATCGACCAGGCAGAAATACAGGACTGTGATACTGGTGCTGTGCATTGTTATCGCTTTCTTCATATGCTGGGGGCCGTATCATATCATCATCGTGTTGATGTCCATCTATGACTCTGATGCCTGCAAACATTATCGGCTGCATGTTGCG